CCAGGTGGCGCGCCAGAAGTGGAGTCACAGCATCTTGTGCCGCAGGTCCCTAGGTAAGGGTCTCTTGAGTCATTGTTTGCTGGCATCCAAAGCCCGCTGCTAACCTCTCTCTTGCCTTAGCTGGCATCCAAAGCCCGCTGCTAACCTCTCCCTTGCCTTAGCGTACACAGTACACCCAGCCGGCAGAGCTGAGTTACAGTCCGTTGCAGCACGAGCCTGGCGGTGGTTGACTTGAAATAGCAGGATGACTCACTCAGTGAAGTTCAACACATATTCGAATGCGTCTGCGGCTGCGCCCGTAATATTGCACTGCTTAATGGTAGGTCATCAGCCGACGTGAAAGTGACACGCTGCTCTGGTGATCCGAAACCCAGGACTGAGGTCAGACGTGACCTCGCTGCGCTGACCCAGACTTCGTGCACCTGCGACTCGTCTCCGGCGCGCTGTTTGTCGAAGAGCTCGTGCCTGTGCCGGCAATATGGGGTCGCAATCCACGAGGTCTCTATTTGGAGTATGCAAGACGAAACTTGAGAATTGCAATCCATGCGTCGGTGACGGAGGTTCGGTAGGAAGGGCCTTCACAACAGGGATGCCACCGCATCGTTTTATTAACCGTGACAGAAGACATGTGTTCCAGGATGCTTCAGGTGGTCCACTATTCTCAAAAATTCCAAATGAAGCTTCCTGCATAATCTTCAACAAGGTAACCTACAACGAAAGCACGTATTTCACACAACAGCGCGGTAAAGTTTCATGTTCAAGGCCACACCCACAGACAAAGAATACCAGTTCATTCCACCGCGACGTCATGTGATTAATGTTGATGTAAAAACTTCCTCCAACAGCCTCTGGTTTCACAAGCGGTTTAATCTGAGCAGCTCGTCATAGCGGTTGCACGATCAGTCCAGAGAAGAAAAAAAATTGTGCGTGCCCGGGCCTCTGATGGCACGAGATCCTCCTTTTCCTCGCAGGTCTTTTCTCCCAGTCGCGAGATGCTGTTATGTTTAACAGGCTCCCACCGCGGACTTGTTGCAGACCTCCAGTGGGTAAAGAAGTTGGACTGGTCTCCTAAACGTTCGTCCGTCCGGCAGTCGTACTTCACACGAGCGAATGATATTGCCTCGTCCAGGGTGCACTTCTGTTATTCGTCCCACCTTCCACGTTGCTCTTGGTCGTCTCGCATCGTGAATAGTTACCACGTCCCCGACAGCAATAGGCGTTGTGTTCTTGGGCGGAGTGTGGTGGGCAGAGCGAAGTTGCAAAAGATACTCCTTCATCCACCTCTTCCAAAACTGCTGTGAAATTAGTTCTCGGTAGCTCCATCGCCGTCTTAGTTCACGCGATGTCTGCGGGTTGGAGCTCATTTGCTTCATTGTCGGCAACGACAGAAGTCGCTTTCCTACTAGGAAATGTGCAGGTGTTAAAATTGTTGGTTCCCGTTGATCTGAGTAAAGAAATGGTAAAGGACGCGAGTTCACGGCGGCTTCTACTTCCTGTAACACCGTCGATAACTCTTCAAAATTAAGATAGCTTCGGGCTAGAACCTTCCTGAGGGAGGTCTTCACTGTCCGTATCATTCTCTCCCAGAAACCTCCCCACCATGCGGCTCTTTCGGCGCTAAATTTCCAGGTGATGTGATGGTGGGCGACATAGTCTTGTGCATCCTGATGTCGGAGCAGTTCCCAGACAGCTGATATATCTCTTGCAATTGTCTTAAACGCCAAAGCGTTGTCTGAATAAAGTATGTTTGGCAGTCCTCTTCTGGAAACGAACCGACGTAAAGCCATCAAGAAGGATTGAGCAGATGTGCTCGTTGTGAGCTCGAGGTGAACTGCTCGTGTGACTGCGCATGTGAAGATGGCGATATACGACTTCTCGTTCTTTTGTTCCTTTGTGTAAAGTGGACCAGAAAAATCAATACCCACGACCTTGAATGGGTGCGTCGCCTCAATGCGTTCTTTTGGCAGTGGTACCATAGGAGCTGATGCGGCCCTCAAGTGTGTCCTCGCACACTTGGTGCAGTTTCGCAGAGACTTCTTTACGGCTTGTCTTCCGCGTACAATCCAATACTGTTCGCGCAATTCAGTTAAAGTATCTGCTACTCCTCCGTGAAGCACCCGCTGATGTGCGCTGCATATAAGTAACTCGGTGAAGCGATGTGCGTTGGGGAGTATGATGGGGTGTTTAAGGTCTTCTGATGCAGTTAGTTGTTGGAGACGACCGCCTACGCGTAAAACTCCGATGTCATCTATGAAAGGTGTCAAATCTTTTAGTTTCGATGACTTGCTCAGCGGCCTTCCATTTCGTATGCTCTGAAGTTCTCCCGAGAATTCATTTTTTTGTGTGACCTTTATCCAGTATTGTTCCGCTCTTTTGAGTTCTGCCGTTAAAAGGTAGTTAGACAATTCCTTCAGTGCGCCAGTGTTTTCTTTGAAACGGTAAATCCAAGCAGTGACGCGTAGGACCCTTGAGAGCTCGCTGTAGCGTTGCAAGTCAAGTACAGGATTGTCTACAGCAGTTGTTACTTGCAGTACATTGGTTTTGATGTCATTGTCTTCCATGTCGTCTAGGTCGTCTCGTTCGGGATGCGCCTGTGGCCATTCTGGTGACGGTTTCTTGAGCCAAGAAGGGCCAGTCCACCACAAGTTGTTTGACTCTAGGTTTGACGCGGGGCGTCCTCTTGTTAGGCAATCTGCCGGGTTTTCTTTACCCGGGCAGAATCTCCAGCGAGCTGTAGGCGTGTTGTTTTGGATTTCCCTCACTCTATTAGCAACAAATGTCTCCCACCGGTGACTTTGACCTTGTATCCACTTCCACGTTATGGTAGAGCCTGTCCACAAGTATACTTCGTGGTCTTGAAGCGACAACGTCTTTTCTACATAGCGCAGTAATCTAGAACCGATGAGAGCTCCCATCAGCTCTAAGCGAGGGAGTGTCAGCTTTTTAAGAGGTGCTACTCGCGCCTTTGCAAGTAGTAGATGTATTTCTACTGTGTTCTCAGAGTCCGATGTTCTTAGGTAGACAACTGCGCCGTAAGCCTTCGGACTGGCGTCAGTGAAGACATGTAGTTCGTAAAACAGCGTAGTGTCTCGGAGTTCCTCGAACAAGAATCGAGATATGGATATGACTTGTAGCTGTGGAATCTCGTTGCACCACGTGTTCCACTCTTGTTGTATGTTCTCAGGAAGACTATAGTCCCAGCCTATCTTTAATTCTCACAGTTTTTGGAACATAATCTTGACTCGGATGGTGAAAGGTGATAGCAATCCCATGATGTCGTAGATTCTATTGGCAGCTTGAAGGACATATCGCTTTGTACTTAATTTCGTTTTCAAGAAGTTCAGCGTCGATGTCAATGACAACTTCAAAGTGTCCTCCTCTGTATTCCAATGCATTCCAAGCACCTTGGTGTCTGTCGCCATATCAGTTGGTTGGGGGACTCCTTTTTGGAACAATCTTTGCAGTGTCTTGCTGTTGGATGCCCATTTTTGAAGATTCATGCCAGCTTGTTGCATGATGTCTTGTGTTTCCTTAAACAGCTTGACTGCTGCTGCTTCACTCTGGGCGCCAGTCAAGAGATCGTCGACATAGAACGATTTCGCTAGAACCTGAGCTGTCTCCGGGTGGTTTTGAACTGTTCGGAAATGATGCTGTAGGGTAGCTGTCAGCAAGAACGGACTGGATGTCGTTCCAAACGGAACGCGGGTCATCCTCCACTCTTGTATTGGTGGTAACTGACCGGTTGTTGTGGGCCTCTCTCCAAACCACAAGAAGCGTAGCGAATCTCGGTCTCTTTCTTTTACTGATATTTGCAGAAATGCCTTCTGAACATCTGCTGTCATCGCTATTTTATTGACTCGGAACCTCAGGAGAACCTGCAATAGGTCGTCAGATGCCTTTGGTCCCGTTTCAAGAAATCCGTTGAGACTCTCACTTCCTTGTTGGTGAGATGAGGCGTCAAATACGATTCTAATCTTCGTTGTGAGCGTCTCCTCGCGCATTACCGCATGGTGCGGCATGTAGTACTGCCGTCCTGTATTTTTCTTCGCATCTGGAACCACCTCTGCATGCTCATCCTTCAAATATTGACGGATCACACTGTCGTAAGTGTTCAGCAGGTTTTCATCTCTCCGGAGTTTTCGTATCAACCCGTTTAACCTTGCTGTCGCCAGCTCCTTGTTGTCCTGGAGCTCGGTTCTTTTGTTGGTCTTCCAGGGTAGTGAGACTTCATACCTGCCTTCAGTCCAACAAATCGACTCTTCAAATGTCTGTAACACCGTTTCCTGGGACCTATCTTCCTTGTCTGTGATTCCAAGATGTTCCAGGTCCCAAAACGCTGGCAATTTGTTCGTTTCGTCTTCGGTGGTTACTCCTACATCAAGAATACAGGCCATGACATGGTTTTGTGTTCTCAATGAATAATTTTTGTCCGTTGGTGCTTGCACCGTCCAACCAAGTCGAGTGCTTAGCGCTGTCAGCTGCTGACTCTCACTGCGGATGTTGTCACCCTTCATGATTTTCCATACTCGGTCAGCACCGATTAAAAGGCTGATTCTGAGTGCCCCTTTCGTTTCATCGAAAAGGCAAAGGTCAGCCAAATCCTTTCCTTGACTTTAAAGCTCTCCTATGAAAGGGTGGTCCAAAGGAAGCTCCATCATTTGGCTGCAAATCTTCGGGACTTCTACCGCTTCGAAGATGTACTCTCCTTGCTGGTACTGGCTCTTTAGTCTAACCTCCACAAGCTTTCGTCTTTGTTCTTTTGCAGCTTCGGATCCAAAGGTGTTGATGCAAATATTTATGTCACCGAGAATACGTAGTTGGTACCTTTTGGACACATCTTCTCGGATGAAAGTTCGCTGGCTTCCTCCGTCTATCATTCCTCTTATGTATCTGTACCCACTTTTGCCAGCGATCCAGCCCCGAAACGTTTGAAGTAGGATATGGGGCTCCTTTTGTGTTGTTGATGGAGCGTAAGTATGGAGTGCCTTCGTTTTGCTATTTTATTCCGTCTCCTTAGTTCGTTGCCAGCGTGGGTCGCACATCGATGTAGCATGTCTGCCTTTGCAAGTATTGCAGACGATTCTCCTTCTGCAATCTCGCGCTCTGTGCCCCTTCATGGTACATTTAAGACATCTCATGTCGTCGGAGAGTTTCTTCTTTTTCGCATCTATCGTTGCATCCGTGTTGCAATCTTCCGACGAGTGTTTTCTGGAAGAGCAGAAAAGGCAGTCTGCTGACTCTTTCGCCCGACTGTGTAGAACAGCTGCGGAGCTTCTTGTACCTTCTCTTCTGGAATCGTACTTCCTAGTGTCAGGTCGACTGTCTTGACTGTTGTCAGTCCACTTCGTTCTCGACATTCCACTTCAATCTGAAGAAATTTTAAGGTCATCTCCAGATCTCCTTCTGACGTCAGTGGCTCTGTAGCTCCGCTGAAGGATTTTCGTCGATGATATTCGATGACGACGTCGGTTGGTAGAACCTTCATTAGTATCTCGTTCAGCATTGCAGAGTAGGACATAGCGTGAACTCCGAGATCTTTTAAGCCACGAACGTGTAGCTGAGCGGCGTCGAGAAGTCTTCTTAAGTCACCAACGTCGTTTGATGATGGGACCTTCTGGAGCGTTCGGAGTTTTGAAAGATGGTCTTGCTCGATGAGTTTCTTGTCTCCAAATCGCGCTCGGAGTATAGCCAACGCGTCTGTGTAGCTGGAGTTAGACCCATGAAGGCCAGCGATGGCTCTAAATGCGGGTCTGGTGAGAAGGGACCGGAGGTAGTGAAACTTGTCAGCCTGACACAGTTGAGGATGCTGGTCAATCGTGTTTTGGAACATATCCCAGAACGCTTGCCACTGAGAAGTGCTGCCGTCAAATTTCAACATCTCCAATTTCGGAAGTCTTGCTCTGGCGTTCTCGGTGGTGGTCGGAAGAATCGCCGGTGTTCTGTTTACTTCTACCACTCGGGCTTCTTGATTCTTCAGAATCTCAATTCGATGACTCAGCATTGCAAATGCCTGCGTTGAGTTGTCCTGGTAGGTCATTACCGCTTCATACTCTTGCTCAAGGTGTTCGTCGCTTACGAGGGATTCGAACTCTCGATCTAAGATTTTCAGCTCTTCGATATTTGTCGTTAATCTCTGAAGAAGTGTTGTGAGCGAACTAAGATCGTGATCGTCATTTGCAAGAGTTGCCCTGACCTCGTGGATGAGCCGAGTGGTCTGGGCCCGACGAGAGGTTCGCTTGGTCCGTACTCGCTCCATGTGGCTGTCTTCAGAAGCTCCTTGAGGTCTCGGTTGGCTTTCTGTAGCGTTGAAGTAGCCTTCCCGGGTTTCGGCACCATCAAGTTCCTGTAAAAACTTCCTCCAACAGCCTCTGGTTTCACAAGCGATTTAATCTGAGCAGCTCGTCATAGCGGTTGCACGATCAATCCAGAGAAGAAAAAAAATTGTGCGTGCCCGGGCCTCTGATGGCACGAGATCCTCCTCTTCCTCGCAGGTCTTTTCTCCCAGTCGCGAGATGCTGTTATGTTTAACAGTTGACAGGGACGTCCTTATTGGACAGGGGCATGGTGAATTTTGATGGAATTTAGGATGACATAGAATTTATATAGATGTCGAAGTCTTTTCGCATCCCTCGTCAAACAGACAGGATTTCAGGGAAGGGACCGCGGTCAGGCTTTGATCGAACGTTCTTTTTGAGCCCACTGGAGACTACTCGTCGTCCGAAATCACTAGCTTCAAGGCAAAGTGCCAAGCATACGGGAAAGCAATTTCAGAATCAAAAACTTCCCCTTCCAAATTCAAGCTTCATCACATTTGGTGTCTCAAACAAATTTGAAAAATGTATTGCAGTATCAGTATTTCTGTATTTGTATTTCTGCCCTCCCTAAAATGTATTTCTGTATTTGTATTTCCAAATGCTTTTTGCCTCTATTTAAATTGTATTTCCGATACGTATCGCGATACACTTTTACGGATATATTTCAGTATCAGTATTTTAGCTACTATTTTAATGTATCCCAGTATTTGTAATTCCAAATACATTTTTGAGTATTTCTGCCCAACCCTGGGCTCTATGGAGATGCCACGGGCATCTCCTCTGCCTACCTTTCCCCCTCTCTCTCGCGCCGTGCGGCTGTTTTTTTTTTCTTCTTTTTTTCTTTCTTTGTTTTGTGTTTTTTTTTTTTTCGGCACGTAAGTGCGGACTGGGCTTGAGCGCTTTTTGGACCGTCATCTGGGCCATTCACGGGTTGGCATTATTAATGTCAATTTCCACAAACCGTTGACAGTGTCTACCGGATTTCGACATTGCCGGGCATTTTTTTATTATTTTTTTTTTTGAGTCAACTCCAAAAATGCGCAAGTGTGCAGTGAAGTTGTGCTCTGATATAGTGTGTGCTGGCATGCAAAAATATTTTCGTTTGGGTACGTCACCAGTGGCAATGAAAGCCAGATCTGTACTGACAGTCACGTGACAAGACTTTGCGCCCCGATCTACCGAAAGCGCTAAGGCGCTGGAAGTTGGTGTTATGGATGAACTGTGATGTTGATGCGAATTTTTTGGTTGTGAGCAGGTGAGCATGGGTTACAAAATACGAAAAGAAATTGACGAACCTTAAAACAATCTCGGGTGGTCGCGGAGCAGTATGGATGCTCCTAGGAAAGGATGCAGGCCTCAAATCACCTGGAGAGTGGAGAGTGTAGCGGCGCCCCTGAGGCGGGTGCCGAGGCCCAGGGGAACCACGGAAGACGACACCGCGCGTGCAAAATGCAAGGATGGTACAATTCGATCCGTTCTAGACGTCATGGGCTTCGCAAATTAAACCCGTAACATTATTTTAAACAAACTAAAATTATAACAAGCACATCTAAAAGGAATGATATTCCCAACATGCTTTCATATTATTTCTTTTCTCTCGTGTACATTAAGTTTTGTAAATGCCCTCTTTAGCGTCATCGATGTGCAATTAATAGCATTTTGAAATACGCAAATTAATGTATAAATAATAAAACTTCTCGACCTCTCAAAAATTAAGTTTTGTTTGCGGCTCTTGAGCACTGTCACCTTGACCACAGTGATTCTGCGGCTGGAGATTGAGCTGGAAAATCTAAAAAACGTCGAACAAAACGTGAGTGGTCGACGTTGCCAGCACGTCTTGTATGACGTTTACGACATTTAGGTGTGAACGCGACGTCGCTGAAACGTCACTGACGGGGCGATAATGCAACGTCACCCTGGACTTTATTTTAACTTTGAAGACTCGTGAGTGTTCGACGTTGCTAAAACGTCTTGATTTGACGTCGTGGCGACGATGACGACGTTAAAGTTGAAACGTGACGTCGCCAGCACGTCACGGACAGGGCGATAATGGGACGTCATTTATGAACTTCAGTTCAACGTCAAAGAAACGTGAGCGTTGGACGTTGTGAGAACGTCGTGCATCGACGTCCTGGGAACGTTGACGACGTTTGAGTTGAAATACAACGTCGTCACAACGTCACTGATTGGACTCTAATGGAACGTTATATAAGGACGTCACCTCAACATCGAAAAAACGTGATCGAAGTCATGCGGGACGTCACGGACGTCCGAGTCTTTTTCTTGACGTTTCCACGACGTTTTGTGCTGCCTGGGTAATGTTCGATGTTTAATTTCCGTACACCAACCTTTTCTAGCTGCGAGACTGGAAACGTCTTTTATGATGGCTAGAAAAGTTTCATATAATCACGTAGATAATATAAACAGTGATATTGTGTCCGCCGGTTTTATTTACAGAAATTAAGCGCTCGAGAAATATTTTGATAGACCAGTTTCGGCTGACTAGAAAATTTCTTTAACTAAATTAAGTACTCATTAACAGCATTTCAAAATATTGGCCTTATGAAATAAACATTTGTTACATGGACATTTGCTTACGACGTTCTCAAGGTATGAGAATGGTGAGATAAATGAATGCCAGACTTCAAATAAAGTCTAATATTCATCTTCCATAAAATTTGACGAATGAAATAGAAGAGCGCAAAAGAAATGATCTCCGATAAGTTTGGCTGAAGTCGAATGCCAGGCGCCACCCAATGGATCTGAGTAGAAAACTGTTCACTGATTTGAAGCGATGCGTTTTGCACATTTTGATGTCGCCAGCTACTGAAAGTAACTATCTGCCGTCGACAATCGGCTGCACTCGGGTGATTTTCATGCTGAAGGATTCTTTTTGGCGTCACATTTTGTGAATCATAGGCACTATCAAGCTGTCTGTGACAGTTTCTTACGCGGGGAGTCCAAATATTTGTGTTGAAATAAATTAAGTGAATCTGCATGGTTACAATAAAAAAATTACTTAAGCAACTCAAAGACTATGGACATGGGACCATGCACGAAATACAATTCAGTGGAATTCATAAATCAACCGATAAAGTGAATGCTTATATCGCACACGCGATTAAGAGCGTAAAACAGATATAGGTGTGATATTGCGAACAAACAAGTTGCCTAATGTTAAGGTACCGTTATTTCTAGCATAAAAAACAATTCAAACTAAACGTTTGTTCCCGCGTCTTGTCCACAAGTTCTCTAGTGTAATAAAAAAAAACTGTTTTCGATCTGTTGTAACTAAAACACCATGCTTTCAGGAAATACACGTGGCTAATGACGCCGAGTGTTTTTGTTTCCTTCCTTGGCACCAATGCGCACTCATATATATATAATAACATTGGGCTTCCTATTGCAAATGTTCCGCCCTTATTAGTAACCAAACCTCAGTTCTCATAAGTTATTGGTATTTGAACCCCCGAGGCTCTCTTCAAGTCATATATGTATTCAATGTGCGCAACTGCTAACGCTGATTCCCGTTCCCATAAAGCCTTTTCACCAGTATCTTACACGCCGACGGTAAAAAAAAAAAAATATTAAAAACGTGTTACAAGATTAACTACAGAAGATTTGCGCATAATGATATAATGGAATTGCATGGTAAGTATAAGTATGGAACGACACTTTGCGGAGTAAGGCAAGAGACGCGGTGAAACGCGACGAAAAACACGAATTCAACGCATCCGCCAAGGCGCGGACGGGAGAACGGAGCAACAAGTTGAAGCAACCTAATGGCGGCCGCATCACGTGATTCCAAGATGGCAGCGCCCATGCGGCGGAGGGTGAAAAGGTGCATAAAATGGGGGAAAAGAAGGAGTCAAAAGAAGTTTCCTGCTTGTGATGCGGGAAACGTGACGCGGGTGATTTAGCCCCGAGGAGGATCGCCTTGACAGAAAGAGGAAGAGTCTCGGAATGGAAGGAAGGAAGGCAGCGTTAGATCTTGAATGATTTACCACTACCTTTCTACCTTAGTATGCGTTAATTTTTAATGATCGGATACTGAATTGATAAATTTTATGTGTTGCTGCTTCACGTATGGTAATTATATATGCATTGCTTTTCCTGAGTAAAACTTGTTGAAAGTTAGAGCATGTCCTGTTAACTACTTGTCTTCTTGCGCTATCTTATATGTGTGAAAAAGGC